TATTCAGAGCAAAATTATCAAAAGATGCTTTCTTCGATCGATGAATCGAGATCCAATTTCGAAGAAAAGGGCACTAACGTGAAATTACAGAGACGGTTTTGGCATGCTCTTAAAGCCTATCGAGATGGAAAATCGTACCAAGACGTGCTCTCATTGTTTTTCAGCTCCATGTGCAAAGACTGTTATTTCCCATAGAAAGATTACCAATGCAAAGCTGAATGACTGATTTTCTTTTGTACCTTGGCAACGGCACAGTAACTGCTTTCGTACAGATAGAGCAGTCAGATATTTACTTAGAATGTTATTTTTGTACTTCTTTTTGTAATCAGACAAAACAGGTAAAAAGGTTTTCTGAAAAACAAATATTGTCATGAGATTCAGCGTTACCTATGTTTCCATTATTTTTGGAATTACCATACCTAAGAAACGCCTGGGACTCTCAGCCAATCCTATGCGACGCCTGAACCGGGAAAAATTAGTCCACTTAGTTCGCATTTGAAGAGGACATTTTGAGCTGTCTATCTATGGAAAAAAACTAATAGATTGTTATCTGAGTTTCCGGAGGTCCTAAGTGCTTTTTCAAAGATCTCCTTCCGAATAGTTTCGGAAAAGGGTTTTGCTTATGAAAACATAGGTTAAACTGTCTTCTTTCGATTGTTGAAAATCGCAAGTCCCCATCTTTTGTCGTTTTGAAGTTATTCGAAAAACAACAGATGCATTGAATTTTGGTGCCGATAGTAGGTATATCAGACTGTTGGTTTTTAACCAAAGTCTAATTCTTCTTACAGGAAGGTTCGAAGTTCGAATCGCGATTTTCGGCAGAGAAGAGAAAAACGGTCAGAAAAGAGCAAAATATAACTAATACTACATTCGCTCTAAAATTGACTCACACTCTTAAAGTGTCACTTCGGCACTGCAAGTGACACTTCAGTCATAAGTGCACACAGTTGAAATCAGATTTTTCCCCTTGTTCACCTTCCACTTCTTATACAGGAGTTCCATTATATATAATCCTACAATTAGGACGACATTGTTTAGAATCATCCAAAAGATATATTCTGAGTCGCTTATCCGGGATTGTCGCAGCATTCAAATAAATGAGCAATATCTCAGTAAGCAAGGACTAATTGCAGTGCAAACTCTGAATTCTTAGAATTTACAGATCATTGGTGATTTCACACCCCTTATTTAACCGAATTACATTTTTGTTGTTTGTTTTTGGAGACGATGCTCTTAAACATACTTCCTCTTTTTAGAAAAACGACGGCTTTCGAGTTAAGATGGTGCATACTAGAGCGAAGTGTCCTCTCCAAAATAAGATTACTTTCAGATCTCTTCGACCTTTCGTTGAGAAGATATGGACTTTTTTAAGTTGGCAACTGTGTGCTAAAAAGACCCAATTATTATCTTTCGAAATTTTTCTCTTCCGCTTAGTACGTGACAACCTTTTCAAATAGTTAGGTTAAAGAGCAAAGATTTTGCTACAAAATGAAATGTATCAGTTTGCCTGCAGTATCTCAGCTCTTCATGACTTTTTCTATCCGAGCTATGATCAGTTTGCCAGAAGTTCTAAAAACAAGTGCCGTTTGTGATATATTGTACATGGTTCAAAACAAGGATTATGAGGTTTTTTATAAACTGGTCTACGAAAACCTAACGATTTGTGATTTTAACAGCCACATAACGTCAGAAGGAAAAGTTAGAAACGAGAAACGAACATTAGCGCTCTCAGATATCGTCCCGGGTATCCACGGTAAAATTTTCTGTCCGTTTGAATAAAGTATTAGGAATATCGTAAAAAGTTCATACCTCCTCAACGAAAGGTTGCAGAGGTCTAAAAGTGATATATAACGTCCCAGGTCCAAAATACGACTCGGTCGAATTGGAGCACATTACGACGATCCTAAAACTTTATTCAGGCGGACAGAAAATCTTACCATGGATACCCCGGACGATATCTCAGAACGATAGTGTTCGTTTCTGGTTTTTGACTTTTCTTTCTCGAGTTATGTGGATTTTAAGGGCCTCTCTCAGGAATTATCTCCGACACCGTACATCCGATCTCGACGAAACTTTCCATAAACGTTAGGTCTAGTGAGTTACGGGAATGAAAACCTTTTTTTGTCTCCAAGTCTTACGATTTAGGAGTTTTCCAGAGTTCAAGGTCCAAAAAGGACCCTAAAGTTTTTCCCAACCTTTTTTAATATACTTCAAGCTGGAAAGTCCGGATTTGTTTCATTTTAAACTAGACACCTAACTACATGGACCGATCGGCGCCGATTTTCCAATTAAGCCTTTTTTGGTTTTCCAGAGTTGTGTGAGGTCTTATTTTGATCAGAAAAGTTTGCTCCACAAATCTGTGTTCAGAAAAAGTTTAATTCCATAAGTATCCAGAAAAAAAACATTATTTGAGGACTCGGATTTTCGAGGCTCCTAGAAAACTTGCTCGAAATCCGCATTTTACCACATTTCATTATCCGAAAAATCACATTTGTAACTAAAAGCGATACAGATTCTGAAAGTAGACATTTCACGCTCTCTTTCCATGTGCTTATCTCTAAACCGATTTTTTGACCGAAAAGTACCATTTCTGAGGGGTGGCCCTTAAAAGCAAAAAGCTTTAGGTTTTTGTAGACCAGTTTATAAAAAAACTTATAATCCTTGTTTTGAACCATGTACAATGTATCACAAACGGCACTTGTTTTTAGAACTTCTGGCAAACTGATCATAGCTCGGATAGAAAAAGTCATGAAGAGCTGAGATACTGCAGGCAAACTGATACATTTCATTTTGTAGCAAAATCTTTGCTCTTTAACCTAACTATTTGAAAAGGTTGTCACGTACTAAGCGGAAGAGAAAAATTTCGAAAGATAATAATTGGGTCTTTTTAGCACACAGTTGCCAACTTAAAAAAGTCCATATCTTCTCAACGAAAGGTCGAAGAGATCTGAAAGTAATCTTATTTTGGAGAGGACACTTCGCTCTAGTATGCACCATCTTAACTCGAAAGCCGTCGTTTTTCTAAAAAGAGGAAGTATGTTTAAGAGCATCGTCTCCAAAAACAAACAACAAAAATGACAATAAAAAAGACAATAGATATATGCTTAGGAAATTAGCGTCTCTCTTGAGGTGAGGAAACACAGGAATGTATAGTTAATGTAGAATGCATTAACATTTGTGTTTTGTTGGCACTAGAAGTTAGACACACTCATCTCTAACGTAACGAAGAACTAATTTTATATCTAAGGGTAATTTCTATCATTCATTTTTAATTTTGGTCTACAGCAAAGAAAGTCTGTCATTAATATTTAAACATGTCGTTGTTTTCTCTTGAACAGTTCTTACGGTTCAGAGCGCTACAAAAACGTGACAACTCTTCAGACGACGAACACGTAAAAAGTCGCGGAGATATATTCCGTGATATTAGACGTCAAAAACCTTTATCGATAAACGATTTATGCAGCAGAGCTAAAGTTTTAGATAAAAAGTGGAAAGCATTTTTGGATATAGAAGATGATAGATCAGCAAACCCATTAGATGTTTTACAAACTGTTCTTATCACTTATGCGGAGATTGCACGACTGATTTCAAGTGATTTGTCCATAAAAGCTAAATTAGACGTTGTTCAGTTGTTAGAAAGACTTGCTAAAGTTATAACTGCGCGTGAAGTTTTGAAATTATGTAAAATTCATTCAAGTGCACAACAATTATTTCATAGACTTCTTGATCTGTTGCAATCGTTGGATATTATCTCTCAATCAAAAAATTTAGAACTCAACAAAAATGTAAGAACAATGTACAAAAATATTTTACTACATTTTATATACGTTATTAATGACACATTACTAAACATAAAATTTTTTAAAGATGATCTTGAAAAACATTTACAATTACTCAAGGTATTCATATTCTATGTTGATGAATATATTATTTCTAAACCGACATCGGAGACTGATGAAGGATGCGTTAAATCGATATTAACGTGCGTTTGGAATGCGACAGATAAAACAATTGTTGTGCCAACGTTTGTTAAAGCTAATTGTCCAGAATATGTTCTAAAATGGATTAAAAAAACTGATATATTAGATATACAACGATCATTAATAAGTATTATACATAATATTGCTCGACATGCATCGGGTGTTAAAGCATTGAACAATTCGAAAAATATAGAAGCATTAAAATTATTTGAAGAAATAATTTTGAGAAAACTCGATGCAAATCATCCTAGTGATTCAATAAAATTTATTAGAAATGATACGTATATCATTGATGAATATGGTAAAAATGTGACTTCAATAACTGGAGTCAAATTCTGTAATACAGAGTTAGATACTATAAAAGAAATGTATTTATTCTATTGTATGGCATTTTCATTATTATATAAAACATATGAGGTAACAGCTAATATTAATAAAATGAATACAAATATATTAGGTGAATTATTACAAATAGTTGTTAATTCATCAAAAATGGTGACATTGAGATACAATGGTTGTCACATATCAGAACCATTAGTTGTTTTAGCAAAATTATTTGTTGATGATACAATTATCTCTTTATTTCTATCATATAAAGTTAAAGATACAAAAATAGATAAGGAATATTCAATGATAGAATTTTTTTGTAATTTATTAATTCAATTTCGTGGTTTATTTATTCATGGTGATTATTATGAACGATTAACATTACGTTCATTATTCAATATTATCTATAGTATATCGTGTAATAAAGATGCATGTTTAGAATTAAAATTAAATGGAAAATTATTAATTATTATTGAAAGTTTTACAAAAGATAATAATTCAAAAACATCAAAATCAGTTTATAATGATGAATTAGATGTAATGTCACACATACATATGTCATCTATAAGTGAAGCGGCTAGTGGAATATTATTAAATATTAAAAAAGAAAACAAAAACGATAATTTAAGAACTTTTTCAGAAATGACAAATACTACTATATCTGCAGTACATATATTACCGACGGTTATGATTATTTATTCAAATGCTGATTATATATTTTGTGCAAAATTAGTCGATGCATTATCAAACTATAATGAATTTAATGTAGTTGTTGATTTTAATATGGTATCCGACAATAATTGGTTAGATATGTTAGAATCACTTAAAGCAGCTGCTATTATTTTATTAATTATAACAGACGATTTCTACAATAGTAGATCTTGTCGACATGGAATTTATTTTGCTTCACTACTAAACAAAAAAATTATTTTAATTTTTAAAGAAGAGAATTTTAAATTAATTAAATGGCTAGATTTGGCTCTAGCTGAATTGGATAGTCGACAATTTGTAATTTCGGAGCAGTTTGACGATGACATTATCAAATTATCAGATTTAATATGTAAAACATTAAACATTCAATCTCACATCAATCAACAAAAAAATAATGATAACGATGACCCTAACAAAAGGTTATTACATTCACTGTCTCAAAAACCAGTTGAACAATGGACAAAAACAGATGTCATTAACTGGTTTCATCGTAACAATGTAACAGAGGAATTATGTGCTTGGTATGAATTTCAAGATGGGAATGAGCTTATTTTTTATGCTGATCGTTTATTACCAAATTGGGAGCATGAGTATGAAGCGATTAAATGTTATTTGAACGAACAGCATGATAAAAAATTAGAAAGATCAGAATTTGAAACTTTTGTTTTAGTTCTGAATAATTTAATGAAACAGCAGCAAACAAAAAGAATACTCAACAATAAAAAGAACAGTCTATTATCAGTTACATGTACAATAACTTGACTTGTTCACTATCTAAGGACAGTCAATACTCATCATTAAATTAGCCTTCGGTATAGTCTGTAATTAAACACCAGACATGTTTGTGCTGAAGAACTTGCTCTTATCTGAAAGCGCAAGAGAAAAATGATACCTTTTCGATAACTGTCTTGCAATTCATTGAC